AATTAATTTCCAATAACTAGTCTTCGCATAAAAATCATTTCTAAATCCCATCTAAACATCCGGGTAATAATATAAAATTATTTAACTAGAACTCACAACCCTTTCCACTGACCAATCACTCTCAACGTAGCGCCCATACGCACTCAAAAGCCTCCAGCGCCTCTCTCAGAGCCAGTCGCAAATTCCACAGGTCAAGAACGATTTGTGGTGTCTGTCTGGTTGTCGAACGATATCCTCGAGCACTAAATATTACGAATGCCGGGCGAACTTTAAATTAAACGACGGTTCAAGCCCGGCCAGATTAGCCACCGCGCAATGCATAAATACAGTACAGAACCGGCGCGGTGTCCCGGTCCCTATGTAACGCCGGGACTTACGAGCGCCTTGTGTCCCGAAAAACACGTCCCTTATCGTCCCGGTATCTCGTGCAATGCCGATGTTACATGTTCGTATCGAGTGTCATTAAGTGTGATTATATTACCCCGTCTGTTCACGTGTACATCGAGATAGAACGAGATAGAACGTGAGAGGGGGGTGGAAAACAGAACAGGAGAGAATGGAATGGAGAGAAAGAGAGAGAGAGAGAGAGAGAGAGAGAGAGAGGAAGGAGAAGAAAGCACGTTCGAGGACTGGGACACAGGAGGGCACAAGAGGAGGTGGTTTTCGTGCCGTGCTGCCAGAGGACGGGGCCAGAGAAGCCGCTTTTACGTCGATACGTAATTTATTGCCATATCCGATATTAAAGTATCGTGGATAAGACGAAGGGATTGGCAGAAGGTCTACCTGCGAGTTTCTTCCCTTTCTTCTCGGCCGCGAGGACGCTACGCGTGTGGGAGTTTCTTTCTGCACCTCTTTTGTTCGTCCCCATTTCTTTTCTCTTCCCTCACCCGTTGCGTTTCTTTTCCGCTTCGCGTATTATTTTGCTTTAGTTTCAACCGTATTTCTGTTCAATCGGATTCGAGCGACATTTCAGGAGTTTCGAATATTCGTCAGTTGACAAGAAATTATTAAGACAAATTATTAAATCAGGTGGTGAAAATTGTAAGTTTAGTTCGGCTAGATTCGTAAAAATATTTAATTTTAATATTTTGCGACAAATTTTACAAATAATCTCGATTTACATTTTATCGATTCCATAGAAATAATGATCGATAGATCGTGCATCTATACTTTTATCGTCTACTTTTATCATTTCAATTTAGAAGAAATTTAAAAGCACAAATATTCGCCGAGTGCATTTAACATACAAAATTATAGAACGCGTACAAAATATAATATCTTCTACGATGTATAGTGGATGAAAGAAATTTCTGCCTAAGTTTCATTTCTTTAGTTCTATGATCATAAAAATATAAATTTTTTATCAATATTTAAAATTAATTAATAATACCATTTACAAGCGATGATTCGATATCAACGTGTGAATCCGGCTTTATAGGAAACACGAGTCGCATTTCTGTGGAGTAGTTCACAGGATCTGTGCGTTGATTGATGACAAATTGGTGTGTTAAGAGTGAGAAGAAGCTGATGGATATTTAACGCCGCATTTAGCCTGGCAACGAGGCTAGTGAAAACACGGTTTGATGTCGCACGAGGATGAAAACGGCTGCTTAAAATCCTGCTACTTAATGCATCGTTCGCTCGGAGGTTGAACGTGGAAGATGTTATTTTCCGGTGCTGTTATATTATAGATATTGTAGCATATTTTGCAGCGGAAATGGAGAAATGATATCATTTGTCACCAGGATGAAAAGTCATTTAAGCGAGTGGACAAACACTAGTGCTTTTTATTAGGCTCGTCATTCGTTTGGATAAATTTGGAAGATGTGAGGAGAGAACGTTTTGGCGGAATTTGTGTACTATATACTAAACAATCCGCTTCAATGATCGAACGAGTGCACTTTAGCGATTAGATGAAATTCTGATTGAGTGTGGTAGCGTAAGTGATAGTTTGAAGTGGAAGTGATTAGTTTGTGGTGATAGTGCGCTACTGCTGGGCTGTGTGTAAAAACTCCGCTGGTGGGTGTTCCGCTGGCTGAGATAGGGATGGGTGGTACTGCTGCGGGTGTAGAAGATGTCGCTGCTGGGGTACTGCTGTATTTTCTTCTCATTTAAGAATCGTAGAAGAAAAATCGGAAAACTACGGGGTCGCTGGGATTCGAACCCGGGTCCTTAGGTTACGAACCTAAGGTGCTAACCACTGCGCTACTGCCGTCAGGCCGTACTTCGTGTCGAGCGGTAGTATTTATTGTCGAGTGCCGCTACATGATAAAGGAAGGAATTAAGTTCTTTAATTTTTTACTAAACTCAACGTTTCTGAATACGAAAATAATTATTATCAAAAAAGGTAGATCTTCAGAAAACGAATTGGCAAATGTTACAAATTCTGTATTACGTAACAGAATGAAGAACTTCGAGGGAATCTTGAAATTCAACCAATATAGAAAACTACTGAATCTTTCGTAAAGTTATTATACCTGAACTTCAAAGCCATGTGAAATGCGGCTAAAAGAATAGAAAAAAAGACACTATCGAGAGAAACGGAAATAAGTATTGTTTCTTAATGGACGACAAACGAAAGGAAAGCAGGTAAGGCAAAGATAAAACGAAAGATCGTAATACTCCTTAATTTGGTGGCGCCATGAATGAACGAAGGAACTCACGTTTCACCCTGGAACGCACACTCATCTTCCCTTGGGCCGTGTTAAAACTAACAAACCGGTGGCTCAGCCGTCTCTGTAATTTTTTAATTACAGGGCCGCGTCTCTCAGTCACTCAGCCCCGGTGACTTGCAACCGGTGTCTAGAATCCACTCCCTAATTTTTAATAACACCTAGCGTCGGAGAGAGCCAGAGTAATAAGTTTGTAGGCGGTTCTCCGTGGGTTCCGAACCAGGAGCGGAAGAAACGAAGGAGCGGCGAAAGAGAGAGGCAGAGCCACCGGAAAACATATTGGTAGCGTACAACGAAAACCTATTTTGTGGTAGGTGGTTCAAATTACCGCGCGTCGTTTTAAGAAGAAATTACTAGATTAGAGATAGAAATTACTAGATTAGAGAAGAAATTACTAAATACTAGATTTACTATAACTAGATAACTAGAATACTAGAAAAAAATTCCTAACGTGTGGGTGTTTTAATTATTTACGGTATTTAAATTTTACTGAAATGAAACGACATTGTTTACTTGAAAATATCGACGCAGAATATTATATTGATTTTATAATATAGATAGATATTGCATGTGTGTGTGTCGTAATTGATAAACGACAAGGGGAACAGGAAATGTAATAAAAAGTACGCAAATGTCCGTTAATGTTTGTGACAATTGTAACAATTTTCATTTTGCCCTTTTGTTAATATTCAGAATGCGTGAGTCATTCTGTTCCATTTATTTGGCTTTCAATTATTTGTTCATTCGAGATACACATCAAAAAAAGAGATTTGGAATAATATATAATTATAGTGGTCCTGCGAGTACCTATGTGTCGGTATTATTAAAAATGTGAATAACCTCTGAGTTATATGTTGAATACGATTGAAAGATTGTACGCAGAAGTTTCATAGCTTTGACGTGGCACAACACGTGCGTATAGTACTTTCTTGTTCAGCGCAGTCCAAACGCGACAAACGAAAATTCAATTTCCTATCTATATTAAAGCAACGAACCATTCAAGTCACACGAAGAAATATTTTCAGCCCATAATACACCTGTTCAATCGGTTTTTTCGTTGAAATATTCATTCTTTCACACAACGTTTCTTCCGATTACGATCGAGCCTCCACAGCTGCCATTACATCAACCCTTCAATACAATGTCACAAAATAATCTAATCTTATCATGCGTAATAAACCATTCCAGTTATCGCAGCCAAAGAAGACAAAACGAAAAGAAACAAAGGAAAACTAAAGAATACTTGATGAAGTCTGGAGGCATACGACTATGCCTAAGTTGTGTTAACCGTAACAGACGAAATGGGGAAAAAATAAGGAAGAACGGATGGTACACACGAAGAAGGGACGAGGAACCAGAGCAAGACGTCGGACGTTCTTCAAATCAACGTGAACGCGATGGGTAGAAGCAGTGACAGCCGGCCGAGCAATACGCGGGTTTTATTATGCGCGCGATCCGCGCGCGCCTTCTAACCGAGGCTTATGAATAAATATCGCGATTTCCGTCGGCCGAGAGATCGAGAGAGTCGAACCTAGCATCGACGGTGCGGCAACAGAACGGATCGATAAAAATTCGTCTCGTACAGCCAGCCGCCATAAATATTCCAATAAAGGTCGACCGTGCGTCGTCGGGCCGCCTTGAGAACGTTTCGTCTCTGTCCCTATATTCAATGCCCGTCCACGGGCTGGCCGGCTTACGTCGCGTGGTACGCGAGAAAAATTTTCCAGGATATTCTTTCTCTCTTTTTCTTTTTGTTCTTCTTTCTTTCTGGTGTTTCTCGTTTGTCCACGATCGACGTCCCGGAACGATCTCGCGGGCGTTTCGCGTCGAGACGACGCGACGTGTTGCTCTGAATTTTCTCGAGGTGAAAATCTTTCTATTTCCAATGTGATATAGAAACGATAGGTTGTTTGTATCTTGTGACGCGAAATACGAAACGAGATTTTAAGTGGAAGTCGTCGAGTATGTGATTTTGGCGAAATTCTTGTAGACAAATTTGCATTGTGTTCTTTATAATTTTTTCAGATTTCCGTCACGGATTCTCTCTACCCTTTCAAAGACACGTTTCTTAATGAAAAATGTTGATTTATCGATGGGATAATATAGCTTCGTTGGAAGATTGTTTAAAAGCTTTTCCATTTACTTGTTCACAATTTTAGAATAAACGGATCTTATGGTTTCTTCGTTTCCATGATTGCGCGCTGTAGAATTCAAGGGACTAGTTTCTCTAATTAACTAACCACAACCTAATTAAAGTTACTAATACTATAGGTAGTACTAAATGTTTTTAAATTATGGTTAGATGAAAGTAGATAAATGGAACAATACCTTTGGTCAGTAGCGTTGCTGGTTTAACGGAAAGTAGAAACTTTAAATTTGGTATTGAAGTGGGCCGTTTTCGCTTGCATGACCTGAAACTGAAACAACATCGATTTAAATTCGATTCCAACATCCATAAGATTTTAAAGTGTACTTTCTTTGTATTTGCATTAAGCTACGCCAGATTTCCATTACATCAGATACCTACCAACGTCTACCGCACTTTTTTTTCTTTTATAATAACTTAGTTGAACAATCATTTTGACTTCTAGAATAGCAATTGCGTTACTCTTCGTTCCTTTCTATCTCTGATCGATAATCATAGTATCACGTACAATAAACTTTTATAATTTTTAGCCATGTCGGATAAATATGTAATTCCAAATTATAAATAATTTCTTATACGACTCTACACCGTGAAACTTTACTCCAAAAACAAATTGTTACTTCCAATACCAATCTATCCAACGAAAAATCAACTAAAAAGTATCTAACCGCTTGGAATTTTTATTTTATCGTTCAACAGTCAGGATAGGCATGAGCCATCGCGTTTCAACGTCGCGTCGAAGGGGATGATAAACGCGAGAAGCACGGTTCGCCGAACGGTAACGTCGATTACACAACGGCGAGGGATCGTTTTGAAAATCACTTGACGATCGCGATCGAATCCAACCGGCCGTCCCGTTCAATTTAAATATTTAACGGAAGAGAATAATAACGGTCCATTATGTTCGCGCGACAGCTACGCGATGCTGTGTGAGCGCTGGTGTTGGTTGCGCGCTATCGGCCAGTGTTATTAATGTTACTATTTACCATCGCTGCTGGCGCAATTGTCATCACGCCAGACAGTACGCGGCACTAATTACCGTCACGGCAGCCTATTGTTCCACTTAAAGCTGATTGTTATCGTTACGCAAATTGCAGCCAATGCAGCGCGCGCCAGTAATGATTTCGCACCGATATCAATTCCGTCGAGCGTCTGAATGCCTATATACTAACGCATTTATGTACATTACATATACATGTATATACGTGGAGAACACGTTGCCGTGGATGATAATTTTTCTTATTGTTAACGACATTCCGATCGTTAATAAGCGGGGCGGAATAGTTTTCCATTAGCGGTGGACAGCGAATAAATGACCGACTACGTAATCGGACAAAATAATCGCCGGCTAATGTCTTGATAGATTGACGCGATCGAACGAGGTCGATGCGCCGCTGGCTGCTGCTTCGAAGCGAATTTGCAAGTCGAGTTTTGCGAAATTCTTCAACACGACAGTGATCAGGGGGTGAGATCGCGCGGTGACTGTTACTGCGAGCCAAGGTCTTCGGTCGAGAAAACGTGCGTTGTAGAAGATGAGAATTTTATGATTTAGCATCTGTGTGGAGGTATCGTAGTAGAAATATGGAGAGATCTTACATTCGGATCTATGAAATTGTTGATATCAAGAGAATCTGGATATTACGAAGTCTATAGATGTTGTAGGATATCGTATGTTGCACGAGAATTCATAATATTTTTGTATCAAATTAATATTTCAATCTTGTTCCGAGTTGGAAATTCTTGGCAATTGGAAATTTGATGCAAAGAGGTGGGATTTTTTAAAATGAAGCTCATACGCGAGGGTAGCATCGATAATACAGAATTGATTGGCAACGCGTTGAATTTTAAGATTGTTTCACGTACAAAAATTGGAAAACGCGATATATTTCTTTCTCGTATTCTTCGAATACGATTCTTTTGAACTATTCCTCTTAATTACTTTAAGAGCAAGAACAGTTCATTTTCGCAACTGACAGGATAAAATAGAATCATTGTCGATCCTTTTCATCGACTACAATCAAATTTAATCGAACCGATGGTTTACGGTAAAAGGAATGTTCAGATTTAAAAGAGCGAGCACAACTTCACCAGCCTAAATCACGCAAGCGATTGACGTTGTGAAAGCAGTTCTTGTTGGTTTGAAAAATCGTTAACAAAGATTCTTCACGGCGACAAACGATAGATAGATCCTTTGAAACAACGCGACGGTTACGATAAAATTCCGCGGCGGCTACGTTCGATCGTAATTATCTGGTCGTGTTTATAAATCACCATGGATCAATTAATGCACGAAACGAAGGGAGAGAGATAGAAGGGGGAGAAAAAAAGGGGGCCAGTAAAGGTAGAAAGCATGCGCCGTTTTATAATACAGTCCGTGATCTTAAATCAACGTCCTTTTCTTGGCCGGAGATAAATCTTGCGCGGTCGAGCTCGGCCTAAGAAATATAAATACGATTGTGCATAGAAACGGGGCGTTTTGTCGCTCGAAGCGCGCGTCCAACGAAATAGTCCTCGCGATTTCGCTCCACGTCCTCGTTTTGCAAGGAACTCGCGAAACAGGGAAGGATTTATAAAGAATTTAAAAGAACTTCTTCATTTTTTAATTTCTTAATTTAGAAATGTTTCTTAATTTTGACCAACTAAAGAAAAGATGGATATTCAGTAATTAAGATGACAGAATTTAGTTCGAAGGAAATATCATAGCGACACACGCTGTAGATAGTATCTTCTGTGATTGGAGCAATAATTGTTAGATAAATAATATGTGATCGTTTGCACCGTTATTTAGGTACACTACTTAGGTATACTACTTGGGTTGGTTGTAACATGTAATATGTTATCTCTCTAACACATAGCTATACGTAAATCGTTCTAAGATATTTCAATGTTTTGGAATTTGCAAAAAGCAATATCAAATTCTGAGAAACTTTGAAAATACGTACACAATGCAAACAGATGCGAAATTGTTTCAATGCTTGAAAGATTAAGCAAAATAGATATAGTTAAAGATAACAGATCTCTATGGTATTTATTGATAAAAAAAGTTGTATATTTCGTCACATTTTCATAAAACGATCATCCCTCGCATCGAATCATTAATTAAAAAAAGATATCGTTTTTAATCAAACAGTTATTTTCTCAAGGCAAATGGATCGATATTCTGTCGAGCATACATCCTATATTAAGTTCTAAACGATATTATATACAGAATTGCTATTATATTTTCCGCTATGTAATATCTTTAGAAATTTTAATATTTCAGAAACAATTTATGGCTTCTCTGAAAGCATCGGGATGTTTGTTCGTCGAAGCGAGGAGAATTCTCCGGGAAGGACGCGTCTGCAACGAGCGCTGCAACGCGAGTGGACGCCTCCCGGTTCGGACAGCGTCTCTTATTAGCCGCTAAGGCGTCGCGACGCCCTGGTTGCAGAAAAATCCGCGAGATGGGGACGCCCGTAAAGCTGGCTGCCACAAAACGCAAGACAGAATCGAATCGGGAAAGACGAAGGCGCTAATTCATATGCCTGATTCTGTTTCCGCTGTTCTATTTTATTCTCAAACGTCTTCGTCGTCGGATATTCATCAGAGATGGTATCTAACGCGAGACATGACATCGCAAATTATATTTGCTCGAGGATGTAACTCATTTATCATATACTTCGTGTAGTTCTTTACGCTCTAACGTATTTATGTACATGTATAAGGAACGTACGCATGTATATGTACATACGTACGTGATGTATATTAAAATGATGTCTCGGGAAATTTACATTTTACAGAATGTGATAAGCGAACCACGTGTGAGCAAGGATTACTCGGTTCTTTGACATTCTTGCAGCTTCGACTTGCTTTCACGGTAGCTGACAGATTCCTCGATATATGAGCCTTCCAGAAGGTAATGATTAACTTCTACGTTTTGTGAGTTTCATAATTTTCTCACTCAGGTACACGATTAATGTTCAATTCTCGGAAAACGAATAACTTACTCCCCTAAGTTTCTTTATTGCAAAAAGACGGTATAAATGATAGCGTAGACAAATTTTAAGGATTAATGCTAAAATTTCAAGAATTAGCGATTATAGCATTATCAGATTCTTTTACTTTTTAATTTTGAAACTGATCGATGAATCTTCTGGATGGTTCATACGCCCATTCATAGTATATACATAAATTGCGATTGTTTCTATAGTAATTTTGTTTACTTGATTTTTTGAAAAGTACTATCCAAGTTCAGGTATACCGATATAACGAATATTTTAGAAGTTACCAATTCCCGACAGACCCTGCAAATTGTTAAAGCCGTTTATTTATTTCCTTATTTATCATCGAGAGATCAATTATCTAACGCATCGTCGCTGAGTGAACGTAACAACATCCAGACATGTACACCGAATCCCAAGAACGCAACAGAGTACCCTTGGTTTCAACAGCTTCAAAATTTTCTGGAAAGCCAGCCTGTTGACGCGTCGCGGAAACGCGGTCGTTCCCATTCCCGGTTCCATCGCGCAACAGAAATATCGACTGAAGTTTTAACATACACCTCTCGTATGGCTGCCGAGTGCATCTGGGCTGTCGTCATGGGAATATAAAAGGGAGCTGCAACGATAGACAGATAACTAGAAGAGGACAGAGAGGGAGCGAAGGAAACGGCGGGATAACAAGGGACCAGAGGGGGTTGAGTCGAAAAGATAGACGAAGGAGGACAGCCGAAGGAGGAGGGCTGCAGGGGAGAGGGAGGAGAGAGAGTAAAGGGAAAGAAAGATCGAAGGAGATGCTTGTCACCTCCTACATCTTACACCTCCGCGCGCGCGGATCCTGCACGCTTTCCCATTCTACATACGCCTTCTTTTCTGCATCCTTCGGCTCCCTTCGCTCCACCCCCGTGTTCCACCCTCTGCGGCGCTTCCGCGTCTTCTCAGCCGCCGCCGCTAACCGTCCACCCCCGCAACCGTGCCGCGGCAGACAGAGAGAGAAGCAAAAGACGATCGTGCCTGCCGGAGAAAAAGGTGGCCGAACAAGCCACCGGGAGGGGATGTGCTTGCTTCGAGCATAGCTAACTAGCTGAATCTGAATCAATACTTACTTCCGCCCCCAACCGACTCCCATCCTCTTCTCTACCGAGTCTCAGCCAGCTCCTCTTTCCTTCTTCTCCCCGACCACCCCCTACCGGGGTCCTCCTTTTTAGCGAGAAAGGACTTTCGGGGTACCCTCCTGCGCTTACCTCTCACCACCACCCTCGACCACCCCCATTACCCTTCGCGTTACTGTCTT